TATTTAACCGAGTAAAATGGCAAAACAGTTTCACCATCACCTTCGCCCATCATGGTCTCTTCCCTGGAAAAGTTTTCCAGCGAAACCGTCCACGACGAGCTGGCGAGCAGCGACATCGATGAGCGCAAGTTACTGCTCAAAATCGACCTGCATGTGCTGCCGTACATCTGTGTGATGTATACCCTGGCCTTTCTGGACCGGTATGTCTGATATCTGATGTAGGGATGGAGTTGACCTCAGACTTTTTCCAGTGTGAACATTTCGAATGCGGTCTTGTTCGGACTCAAGGACGACCTGAAGCTCGTCGGGAACCAGTATAGCATCGCCCTCGTTATCTTCTTTGTTCCATACATCCTGTGCGAGATACCCTCGAATATCTTGCTCAAGAAGCTGAAACCGCACGTCTGGCTGTCCATATGCATGACTATGTTCGGCCTCGTCACTATGTTGCAAGGATTCGTCCAGAATTTTGGCGGTCTCATGGCGACGCGCTGGTTTCTTGGAGTCTTTGAGGCAGGTGGGTATATGCGCGTCTATGGGTTTCGTTGGGCTTACTGTAATGGTCAGGCATGTTTCCGGGGTGCTTTTACCTCTTGGCGATGTGGTACCGCAGAGAAGAGTCGCAGAAACGTTACACGTTCTTTTTCTGCTCGACGACTTTGGCTGGTGCGTTCGGCGGGTTGTTGGCTAGTGCTATTGGGAAGATGGACGGAGTAAGAGGCTATGGTGGGTGGAGATGGGTGTTCATTCTAGGTGAGTCTTGGGCCGTGTATTGGTGTAATAGTAAGAGCTAAGTGAGATTGTCCATCCAGAGGGCCTTGCCACGGCTCTTTTTGGCATTGCATGGTTCTTCTTGCTCCCTGATTTTCCGGAAGAAGCGAAGTTCCTTAGCCAGGAGGAACGCGACTTTGTCAGGAAGCGTCTGTCAGCCGATGTTGGTGCCTCCGCTCATCAAGAGAAGGCAACGTGGCGCGACATTCTAGCCGTTTTCAAAGACTGTTAGTGCTTGTGCAACCCTTTTTTTTTTTGAAACTTGCTTATTCGTCGATAACTAGACAAGATTATCATTGGAGGCTTCGCGTATTTCGGACTCATTGTGCCGGCATACGGGTATGCTTATTTCGCACCAACTATCATCAATCAATTGGGATATGGAAGTGCGTTTTTTGATGCTCTCAGGCCTACACTTTTTGATCATATCCTGTTCACTAGCTATCCAATCTCAGCTACATTCCGTTCCACCATGGGCGGCCGCGTTCGGTTTTGCTATGACACTAGCCTTTATCTCTGATCGTTTACGCCACCGGTGGTTCTTTACCTTCATCTCTGGCGCCGTCTGTCTTATCGGTTTCGCCATACTGCTATCAGATCCGCCGCGGCACAGTGTCAAGTACGGGGCGCTCTTTCTCGCTGCGTCAGGTGCCTATACTTCCATGCCCATCATTGTCGGATGGTTCAACACCAACTTGGCGGGCCATACGCGACGCTCTGTGGGTTCGGCATGGCAAGTTTCCTTTGGCAACATTGGAGGTATCATTGCTGCGTTCTCGTTTCCGACTGGGGACGGACCAAAGTATATAAAGGGATACGCGATATGTATGGCGTTTGTGTGCTTAAGCATGGCATCCAGTGCAGCTTATCTCCTCGCGCTCATATTGGACAATAGGAGGAGAGCGAGGAGCACGCAGCCGGAGGTTACAGAGAAGGAAAGGGAGAAGCTGGGGGATCTCAATCACGACTATAGATACATGTACTAAGTTATGGTCGAGTATGTATGTATGCATGTAGTATTTCAACACTTTCGTTAAGCAGTTCTGTTCCAGTTCTACTGCCTCCGTGGTGTTCCCAGTGTGCCGCCCGCGTCACACGAGGGTCATCATCGTTTCGTCTCTACTAATGCTGCCTCCCCAACGTCCCCGTTCCACATAGATACTGTTCAGTTAATGCGTATTCCAGCAGTTCTTACCATGAAGCGGACCTCATTAACCCGGGGAAGAGACCGTCGTTCTGGATTCTCCCCATTCGTATCACTTGCAGTCTAGACGCTTAGCCATGCTGACATTCTCAAACGATGGGAGAAAAGATGATGTATTTCTTTCTGCAGAGAGTTAAAGTGACTACAGATTCACTGTCAGTGGGAACGAGGCGTAGTAATCTGACACTGTTCGGAGAAAGGTAAGTATCTTACTCTTTAACCAGAGACACGATCACGTGATAGTATAGCAATTACTTATCAGCCCCTTCGGAAGTTGGAAGTACAATTTGCAACACGTGAACAACATGCCATGTCTGCTACCCTGCATAGAGATAATTCAGGGTGTATGAGCCGGCAGACCTATGATGCTTCTAGTCGGTAATGTCTAATTGCGCCACATTCACTCTCAAAAACTTGACACCTGTTTCCATGGTGTTTTCCTTAGGCTAAGTATGTTCCCCAATTTCAAGGAGACAGCAACAAATTTCCCTTCTCCAACAAGATAGTATATCCCCAACTCACGATGCCCGAGTTATTGTAGCTCCTCCATTCAAGACTTCAGCTTCAGCTTCCATCCTCGACCGCAGGTCCCCGGCGGTTCATGATAACTCCGGCGTCCCCGGGAGTTTCCTTTTGCAGATTGTATATAATCTTCAAACGTTGATTGTCGAACACACGGATTTATCGTCGAGTATGCAGTGGCTCGGTCCGAAAGGAGTCGGTGATTATAAGACGCGGACATACGGTAAATTATTCGATTCGGGGATCACGCATCATTGATTGTCTGATCAATTACGATATACCGACGCTATGTAAAGCGAAGCAGGAAATAGCTGCTCCACTGGACTGACAGTTTCTCGTGGTACGATTCAGAGCTGAGGATAGATATTTCCTTAGATTGGGCTGAGTAGTTTAAGTCTACCAGGCTGGGAGAAACCAGTTTCACTCTTAGCGAAATTCTAGGCTGTGCGCTTAACGCCATAGGCCGACATCGTTCCAAGGCGCAAAATATCAGCTCCGGGCCGTTCATCATTGTTTCTATATATAGTCGCCGTCCGAGGATACGGCGATCTGTTCGTGAAATTGAGATTTAGCAAACCAGCGTCAGATATGTATAGGGAAGGAGTTACCAGCACTGGCAGAGAAAAAGAGAATGAATTCGAGTGATGGGTCCCTTACGAGAGAAGAGAAGGACAAAGAGAGGTAATAATCGGCAATTGCCGTCTCGACAGTTGATCCAGTTGACCGCTCTATCATGAATTCTCACCATCTGAATCATGCCCAGCGACCACATGCACAGCTCCACCAATGACCACCAAGTCCACCAAGCGCCCTAAGCTCTTCCCTCTCTTTACAACGCCTGCCCTCAAGTTCAAATTCGCCATTCGTTTCACTCATTCGTCCAAGCAAAAATCGCCCTCAAGGACATGTCCACCCAAATCGGCTTCGCCTACACAGGCACCGGAATTATCGCCTGGGACTGTGCTGGGCCGTGAGTCTGAGTACACGTTGGTACGGCCCCTGGGGAATGGGGGGTTTTCGACGGTCTGGTTGGCACAGACGGATAGTAAAGAGGTCGATGTTGAGGTCGACGACGGCGCCTCATTCCATACAGCCTTGACATATCTCTCGCCGCCTGCATCGAATCTAGTCGCCATCAAGGTCCTCACGACAGCCGGTGAACGGACTCGCGAATTGTCGAAGCATCTGCGACTGGATCACCCACCAGACCAGCTCGTCAAACTGCTCGGCCATTTCACTTTTGGTGAGCGACAACGGAGCAGACGAGTCTCCTTGCCTGCAGCGCTCCCTGTTCGCCCCGTCCCCGCCCCATTTCCGTCGACATGTCTTGTACTTTCCCTTCACGGTCCAACTCTCAGCGATCTCAGACAGCACCTTGGCAGTCGCTGGCTACCGTTACCCATCGTGAGACGCATCACAAACGACGTCTTGGCCGCACTCGACTTTCTTCATTCCCAACACCTCATTCACACCGATGTCCAGCCTCGAAATATCCTCCTGAACTTACCCGATGCCCTCTCTCTCGACCAATCAGAGTGGAGATTCGTCCTAACAGACCTAGGCCACGCCGTCCAGCTTCCTCACAAACGCCACCCTTCATCGAACGTTCAACCACATGCCCTTCGCGCACCCGAAGTTATTTTGGGTTTGAATTGGGATGAAAAGATCGACATCTGGAATTTAGGTTGCCTGGTGTACGAGTTTGCCACAGGCGGTCCCCTTTTTGACCCATTCTTCCAACCCACGCCAGACTATGAAGCTATGACTCCTGCTCAGATACACCTGCTGCAGATTATTGAGCAGGTTGGGGAGGTTCCACAGTGGATGCGGGATCTTGGGATTAAGGGACGGGGTGCAGAGTTCTATGATGCAGAAGGTGAGCCATTTCTCCGACGGCTAGTCGCACTTTACTTATTTGTATCTTCCAGGAACCTTCCGATGTCCGTTCCCGCTCCAGTTGACTTCTCTGGAAGCGATTGTTAAAGGCGTATGGAAATCCCCATCGCCTGCAAGCAGTGAACGCCAACATTTCTGTGCTTTCTTGCGCACAATTGCGTGCATCGATCCTCAAAAGCGCTTGAGTGCAAGGGAGGCGCGCTCGGAGAGTTGGATAACGACCCCGCCTGCATATACCACTAATTTCATATCATCCTAATACCGTGCTGTCGCATCTGCTCTTAGATCTCTTTTCTGTGGAATCATCTAGTGGTTAACTGTAGTTTTTTGTATTACTGTGCATAGTGGGGATGTAAATATATCATAGACGCTCCAAGCTATCAGGCAGTTGGTATAATCCCGCATGTAAGGTACGTAACGTTGGACGTTTGAGAGACGTGATATTCCAAGAGCTAAAACAAGTCATTACCTATACGTATTCTGTAGATGTGAAAGCTTCGGTCGTCGTCTTAACCAAAACTTGAAAGCTGAAAGAAGTACTAGTTAGTAACTCGTTACTAAGAGTCTGGACTCTAAGATAAAACAAAAGAAATTCTAAACATGTCTATGCATTAAGAGGGAATCGAACCCCCGGCGGGTCGAGAAAAGGACCATAAAGCCACATGTGATGGTAACGACCCAGGTTACCACTACCCCATTAATGCGACAGAGTACTGAGCAGATCAAGAATAACGGTCCGATTCCCTCAGTTCTTTAGGCCAGTACTCTCAGCGTCGTGTTGGATCTTACGGTGCCGGTGTTCCTCCATACTGTCTCCAAGCCTCCGCAGGATCTACTGCCGATTTGAGGCAAGCGAAGATCCTGGAGACATATCACTCGCAGGCGAGTGCTGGATCGTATTCGGTCGGAACGCGATACCAGAATGGACGAGGAAGTCCGAAACTGGCATGTTCAAAATTTGCTCCTCTGGGTGGCGGCAAGCCGTTTTGAGGACAGGTCTATATTGTCGAAGGCGACGAAAATATTGATAAATGGGGATTTCTATGTTTCCAGCGCACTCGAAGGAGCTAGGACAGAAATGCAAAGCCAATGTCAAATACACATTCTCTTCTTCGCCATCGTCATGGTGACCATTCAGGCTCTCTCACCGCTATGGTGATTCAGTATCGTACCGCTCAGCCAGGATGGACCAGTAATTTGCCGGCCAGATCGGCATCGTCTGTGCTGTAATGTTACGCTGCTCAGTATCCGCCACCTCTTCTCATAAGCATGGAGAACTTCATCGTCGCTGTCCGAGAACGCGTCGTCATCAGTCTCCGTATCATTCATCGTCCGAACGTGCACGCTTCCTGCTCCCTTCTTGCTGCCTCGTCTTTCTCTTTTCGGCGGAGGCTTACCCACCACATCATCCATGACACTTGGCGGTGCCAAGACAATGGGTGAAAGAAATGATCGCTCGCAAATCGATACCTTGAAGTTGGGCTTGTGGATTCCGGCTTGTGATCTTCCTGTGATTTCGTTCCCCTCGGTAGGCATCGCGCTCGGCCGGTAGCATTTGTAGATCCCACCCATATGCCTGGAACAGAGTGCACGGTTTGTTAAAGTCCAAAAGGCTTCCTATTGATTGCGGGTCAATATCTAAAGAGACACCGGAAAGATGCTTACTCCTCGATAGATTAACCACCAATATCTTTTGTAGGTCTCGTGGAACTGCCTTTCAACTGTCATTCCAGTGCATTTCCACCAACAAACGACTTGAACGCATATTGGATGTGGTCATACACAAGATATCGTGATTAGAAAAAAAAATAGTCACCTTGCTGGGTTCCAAATTTTCGCTGTTTCGCGGCTCGACGTGACTTCTTTTGACCCGGAAGGCTGGCTCACTTGAAACTTGGTATGCAAGCCGTGAATTCGTCATCAACACGACTCGAAGCCAACTTCCTTCCCGCGTTAAACATAGACTACGTCTAATTTTCCTGTCGCACTCTTTAGCTTCATGCTCTGTCACCCACGACCTTCGTTTTCTGACCCGTGTATCCTCCGATTCCGTCATTTCCTTCTTAACATATTCCTAAAAGTTTTCCTGAGCTCCGAGGAGCGAGGGACGTCCTCCATTTATGAGCGACTTCGCGGAAGCCTCCCGAAGCTCCCGCCAGACTTCGTCAGGCAAATTTTAGGAAATCAAGTCTCCAATTATACCTTCCCACCAAGTCTTCTCAGGATTGGTTGCGGAAGGTTCGGTGGTCGCAAACTTCCGTACTTATGATGCATTTTAGATAGTTTTAATCTATCCGGCGGCCCCCAAGAGCCCCGGATAGCGACCATTTCACCTCTTACTCCACGCATAATCCCTCACACAAGGCAACATTGACTGCCGACCTCTTGACGACGCCCGATACGACTACTACATGGTTCATTCATGATGCGACCTATGCAGCGACTATGCTTGCCCGTATTTACCCCGATACTCCTCCCCGCCCACCGCGACCGATCCCACATTCCCTACCGGGATGTTTCTGCGAGCAGTTCACTCCAAGTGTCCTCTATCTTAGGTGTTCCCAGTGCACCGCCTGACGTCACGCGAATTGTCGCCTATTCAATGTCCCGTTGATCCTTTCAATTTATTTACAGACCCATCCACAAGCATCAGTATTTAGCGAGCCCAATTCTAAACATACAAGTACTATCCGAGTCACTTTCGAATAACATACATGAAGCCGTCATAACCCTTCTCGTCAGCAGTACAGATAGTCGTAGCCTCGACCTCCTTGTCTCCTTTAATTGAATCAAGCAGCCTTTTAATACCCTTGACTTTCCCTTTGTCATAATCGGAGAGTGTATCTGGAAGCTGTTCTTTGGCGACATCGCCATTCAGAACGACATTATCGAGGATCTACGCATACCCTGTGTCAGGATTGGTCGCAACAACTTGGCGATAAACTCACAATAACCCCTCCTCGTTTTATCAACCGTTTCGCCTCCGCGAAATACTCAGTCATTGGAGGCTTATCCGCGTCAACGAATATCAGGTCAAATTTACGTTCGGTCGGAAACTTTGCAAGAGTTTCGAGTGCAGGACCGACGATAATTTCAACTTGAGAGGTCAAACCAGCAAGTGCAATATTTTCCGAGGCGACCTAGGCTAAATAAGACTTTGAACGCAAGATAATGACCACCTGATCTTACCTTGGCATTAAGTTCGTTGAGTTCGAGAGAGATAACTTTTCCATCCTGGGGAAGTGCTCTTGCTAGAGATATAGTCGAGTATCTATAGATAACCGTTACAAAGGCAGGTCAACAGTGACACAAGCACAATACTTACCCTGCAAGTGTACCGACCTCAAGAATTTTCTTTGCACCAATAGACCTAGCAAGTAAGTTCAGAAATTTGCCGAGCGCCGCGCTGACGGATATCTCTGTCCGTAGTCCATGAGCGTCGCTGTTCTTGAGAGCAGCATGGAGAACGTCGTCCTTTGGCATAAGGAAGGACCTATGGTATTGGTCTGAGCGGGCCCAATCAGTGTAAGTGGTAGTGGGGAAGTTCGCCATTGCTTTACTGGAACTCAAAGGAAGATTTCTTGACTTTTTAGCCACCATGAGCCCGAACAAAGCCGTGGAAAACAATGTTCACCAGATAGTGAATAAAACCTCCGCATCTAGGATGTGAACATTGAGTGATCCCGTACCGTAGGTCGCGCACGAAACCCTAGTCCTGCTACACCGGGGTTTCGGACCGTTAAGTTACCGGAAGGTTACCTCCCATCGTGGGAGGGATTTTCAAACGTTGGTCCAGGTAATTTACCTGTCATATGACCGTGAATGATAATTCAATAATACTGCATATACCTTATTTACAAAGTGGATATGCAACATTTTCAGGTGAAGTAAAGTTCGTAAGATTTAAAAAATGCAAAGACAAGGATGCACGGCGCGTCTGCGTCCGTCATGTGCTGTTCTAAAATATAGATTCAAATTTTTGCTTTTGTTACTGTATCAAAGGAGGGGTCAGTGCAAAACCGTAACTTACCTGCCCTGGGGTTTCGCCCCAACCTACAGTACCCCGGGTACCCCATAGCTGGGTGGCAACTATTTTGGGCGGGTGAGAAAGTGAGAATAGCATCAAAGTCCGGGAAGCTCTCTAGTAAGGAGATGTTGAAATATTTTGATTCTGCGCTGACTCGCATAAAACAGTCGCCGCAGCTGTGCCCGCAGGGTTTTCGCCCGGACCAGCGGGTAAGGTGTTCAGCGGCCAGCCTGCCTACATAACGGGTAGCCGGGATGCAGGGTGCACCAATCGAAAACATTCAAAGTCAGAAATATTATATCACATGGGCCAATATCTTAGCCGTCCCGATCGAATTCATCCAATATTCGAGGTCTTCCTAAGTAGAGAAAAATGGGTACGACATCATCACCGATTCTAAGTCCATACCCTAATCGGGGATGAACCGATGGTGCATGGCCAACTAGTGATTAAAACTTGAACTGAGTGATGCTCAGAGACAGCCGATATAGCCACCAAAGCACTGTAGAAAAATAAAGTATATATGCCAATGCAACGGGTCAGCCGGGTATACCCCGGGTTTCCACATGCTGACCCGTATCCGACCCGGCAACCGGGCAAAACCCAGGCACCCCGGTGACGGTACGGTGACAGCACTCTCCACTGGCTGCAAGTGAAGTTCTCTTTCGGTTCTCTTGGTAAATGTGCCGTCTACTGTCTCCGCCACGGAATTATCCATGTTCCTCTGAGGTAGTACGCTAGCACCGTAGCATCTTTCCTAGTCAACTGACCTTAATGTCCGCAACGGTCTCTCGTATTACTTCCCATGCCAAGTTTTTCCTCCAGGCTATCAGGATCTCCTTTGGATAATAACAAAGCCGTCGACCCGTTTTCGAGTCTCGGCATTTAACTGCTGCAAAGGTTTTCAAGTGCATTAGAGGATGGAACGCCTCTTGCTCGCGATGTATATTGCTGTATGTGCCGAATTCTGATATACTTTATAGAGCTTAAAGTGTGCGAGCTCAGGCTACTGCCTATAACGGCACACGATGATGCAGCGAAGCGTGGGGGCGGGCTTGTTGAACCGTGTCGGCAACGTGTTGGATGCTCTTTAGGCGTCTCCGTTCAATCAAACTTGAATTGGAACCCGGACCGCGCCATCGTCTTTGTTCAAAGCCAACAGACTTACGCCTGTCGCTTCTGATGACAGTTTCTGCATGAACACTAACATGGTACCGATTGTTATATAAGTATTGAAGTATCATACTATAACTCTACAAAGCCCAATGTCCAGGGGTGTATTGAGCCTGCGGTCGTCCTACATAATTACAATCCTTATGAGAACATAACTCACATACCCAATTATGAACTGAAATGAAGACTGAGTTTCATTCCTTCAAGTTCTTACAGCTACACAGATATAATGACTCGGACTCGGACTCGGAGGTGGATGGAATAAGGCCCTCGGCTTCATATTCCTCGACATCAAACTCGGCGATCTGAGTACTGAGCTCTAGACTTGTGTAGGACCTGAAAATTAAAAGGATCAGGACCTCGAAACGACCATAATGGAGATGCGAGGAGGAACGTACATGTTGAGACCTACAGTAATAGTTCCGATAAGTCCGTCTGTGATATCATCACCAACCCAGGTGATATCCAACTTTGACATCATATCAATAAGTGTTATACACCAAC